TGAAAACATTCACCTTTTCATCATGAAGGAACAAGCCTTGTTTTTAAACCTGAAAATCTTGGGTTGATTACCGTTTAGTAAACCTATTTATTACTGACTCATTATAGCCCACCTTTACCAGTGAGACAGCTCCTCTGAGTAAAGAAGAACTGGATCACATGCACACACAAATCCAAGTATACAGACCCTGTTTGAGAGACATATGCAGTATATCATGGTAGGGGCAAGATTTGATGGGGGGAAAAAGAAAAAAAGCTTTGAACATTTGCTTACAATTCTCTGGGCACAGATAACACTCTTGTTTGACAATCTGCAGGTTTCATCTTAAAAAGGGTACCTGTGTGCAATCAGCAATAATTCCACTAGCAGGATCTCTTCATTGCATCACTTCATCAACTGTTATCCTCTCCACGACATAAGCATATGAAGAGACATAAGACAGTCCCTTGCCTAAAGGAAAACATCTAACATCTCACTTTCACCTAGCCATGTATGTGTCACCTTTGAGTCCTGCCCTCCACAATCCAAATCCTGCTCTTTTCCTCTGCTATACCAAGCACGTTAGCTACAAATGAACATGCAAAAGGTAAACGTAACGTGCATGTATACAATCATATTCTTCTTTAATACCCAGGACCACTTAAAAATAACTCCCTTTTCCCCAGTTATATTAAACATACAGTTTTGTGGGCAGGTAGGCTGCAGTATCGTCTTTGCTCTTGATGATGTCATTACACTTGTCAAGTGTCTGAAAAACAGTAAATGTGTCTCCAATGCTGTAAAGAGCAGCAAGATTTTTTGCTAGTAGTTTTCGCGTAGGTGGCCCAGGGGAACTGCTGATGAGTCCTGTTAGTTGTTCTACAAGTTTCTTCTGTTTTTCCTTGACATCCGTCTGTTAATGGACCAAAAATAAGTAAGGAAAGTTACTTAATCCTTTGTCTTGCCTCCAACACCCAGCAAAACCTACAAGATATTGAAGTAAACCTTATACCACTCCCCCTTGTATGTAGGTCAGCAAACTGCTTGTCTCACAGAGATTTAAGGTACATTCAATAATAGCAAAGACAGATGCTAAATGCTCAGAATTAGCACTGTTACTCCATTTGGTTTTGCCTTTTTAAAATACTTACTAAAAATACAGCCCTGCCTGCCTAGAACATCTTTTAATCCTGTTTACCACCAAGAATCCCTACTCTGGAAGGAAGGTTTTGCCTTCCAAATACTTAAGACAATGAAGAACTCAAACCAAGCTATGTATTATATAACAGAGTCAGACTGACTGCCTACAGCTAGAAACTAGTACAGAGGCTCTCCAGGCTGAATCAGAAATCTGGCCATCACCTGTCAACTTTCTCTGGCATGAAATTAATATAAATGTTTTAGAAAGAAGGAGAGGGGGGACACCGCAAAATTACCTTGTTAGCAGCTACCAGTACTTTATCCAGAAATCTTAACCATTCAAAGATAAAGACGGGTCTCTTTGCTTCTGTGATTTGAGCTAATGCTTCCTCATTCAGCAACAAACTGTGAGCCAGCTCCATAACTGGTTAAATTCCAGTTTTACTGTAAACTTGTGTAGCAATTCTAAAATAAAGAAATAACAATATTAGCATAAAGTATAACAGTACAAAGCTTTGAAAATGAAAAAAATACAATGATGAGATCCTGATTATATTATCATGGTTCACCCTGTTTAGACTTGTCTTAGCTAAGCAGTCCCACTGAAATATTACTCACATATTTACAACTGAGTATATCTGTTAGTATTTCAGGAAGCAGAGTTGTTAATTGTATAAAGAGCACTTACAGGCATCTTCAGGATGCTAACTCTTACCCAAGAAAAGACTATACTGAAGTCCCTGTTTAAAGAAGGAGGAAAAAAAAAAGCCAAACAAATCCACACACAAAAAAGGTAAAGGAGTCATCTCTCTGTCTCCTCTTACGTAAAACAGAATAGAGATTGTCCCTAATCAAGACCTGCACTCCCAAAGCTTGCGCATGAACCTGGACACCTTCTCAACACCTTCAACAAAGTGAGAAGGTGATGAACCCGCCACAAACTTGAGAGAGGCAAGAACAGTGCCCTAAAAGAGACAAGAACTGACCTAAGGCTTCCCAGATCCCACTAGCGTTGCTTTAAGTGCTGGACAAATAAGCCCTCTGAAACCCAGAGGGAAGTACAAGCAGCAGCCAAATGACTGCAAGTCTCCCCAACAGGCAAATTACTAACACCAGAAATCCTCCTCAAACGGTGAATGGAGGGAGGGCAGCAACAAAGCACTACCTGAAGCACACTATCAGTGCAAACAAACACTCTGCAGACAACCACAGCAAACCCCATTTCAACAAACTGTGCTGTTTCAGGCTGAACAGAGTGAAAAAAGAAAACTTATATTAAAAAAAAAAAAAAAAAAAAAAAAAAAATCACAAAATTCAATCAACCTTCTTCAGCAAAAAGAAACCCAAAAAGCAAAAAACCCCACCCAACCTCCAAAATTGCTACTAGTATTGCTGAAACTAGTGTCTCTGGCAAATCAAAACCAGCATAAGCAACTAAGGAGTATTATGTAAGGCATGTCTTTCAACAGCTGCATCGTTCCACTTGTGCTCAAGTGCTCACAGCTGCTTCCTCATTCAGTGATCAAACCCAACAAATTCTTAAAGTCAAATGAAGTGATTTAAAATTAATTTTTTTTTTAAACAACCCCAACATCAGACAGTACTAAAGGGCAACATTTTACAACTGCATTACATTTCTAAATTCACCTTATGATTTGGTGCTGATGAAACTAAAGCAGCCCGATGTCTGCTCTTTGGTACTTTGCATTATAGTATTTTTCACTGCATACGTCTCCAGCGACAGATGAGGAAAGGTGGAAGAGCCACACAGAGAACTACATATAGCCCTCCCCAGCACCTCCAAAGTTATGAAGAACTGAGGAGGTGCTGCCTGTCAACAATGCACAGACGCATCACCTCAAAACACTTTTACATGAGACTAGGGAGAAACACAGTGAATAACAGCACTATGATTCTTCACATACCATGCCAGCGGCCCACACTGCTCATCACACTTGCACAACACAGGAATACCATATGAAAGGTACTACTCTTTTCCTCCCCAAATAAGTGTTTGTTTTTTTTCCTGGCCTTTAGAGCATGAACATATTCTGCTTCCACACACTCCCCTACCTCTTCACCTAAACTTAGGAAACATAAGCCCTCAACAAACAAATTCGCACGTACATTCAGATGTGCCACTGAAGCACAAGGGATTAAACGCAAGAACCCACTTCTACTCTGTTATGGTGAGACCCCACCTGCAGTACTGCATTCGGCTCCGGGCCCCCCAACACAGAGGGACGTGGGGCTGCTTAAGCGAGTCCAGAGGAGGCCATGAAGATGACCAGAGGGCTGGTGCACCTCTCCTATGAAGACAGCCTGGAGAAGAGAAAGCTGCATGGAGGTCTTAAAGCAGCTCCCACTGCCTGAAGGGAGGCTACAAGAAATCTGGAGAGAGACTTTTTACAAGAGCATGCAGTGACAGGGCAAGGCGGAATGGTTTTAACATAAAAGAGGGAGATCTAAATTAAACATAAGGGAAGAAATTCTTCGCCGTGAGAATGCTGAGGCACTGGAACAAGTTGCCCAGAGAGCTGTGGCTGCCCCATCCCTGGAAGTGTTCAAGGTCAGCTTGGACTTTAAGCAACCTGGTCTAGGGGAAGGTGTTCCTGCCTGCGGCAGGGGGTTATAACTGGATCATATTAAGGTCACCTTTGAGTGCAAACCATTCTAGGATTGAACACATACACACACACTGAGCTAACTGAAGACTCGAAGCCTGATATACAGCTGTTGCTGGTCAGCAATCCAAAGCTCACCTACACTGGCCAAAGGTTTGCTCCAAAACTCAGCCAAAAATGTCCACCAAGTTCTACTGATTCTGTTGAGGGCTGGGCCTTGCTATGCATGCTACAAGTAATAAATACACCGCTACCTCCCACAGGCAAAGTCAACCAGCAAGCTATGCTGAAGCATTATAGAGACTATAAAACATGCAGGTGTACTAGAGTTTCTTTCTATTCTCCAGCCACCGTTCCATAGCCTAACTGAATCCTTAAGATCTTCATCACACGCGAACTTCAGTCAGCTAAGCCAAAATGCTAAAAATTGGGCACGTTTAGGAGAAGCAACACCCTCCTGAAGCACCACATGGGATGAATACGCTTCCGTGCCTGGGTCCCACTGCCTGTATCGGCCACTGTCACAGGCTGTAGCACCTCCCCAGGTCCAAAACCCCTTCGAGAGGTAATGCCTCAGGACGGCACCACAGCGCTGGCTCCAACACGTTCAGCGACACACGCAGAGCCCATCCCGAGCACCGCGGACGCGTTTCCCTCCTACCGTGCGGCGGCCACGTCCTGCCAGCTCCGGGCTGCGTGAGGCGGTGACAGCGCGGCCGCGGCCCTCGGGACGGTGGAGGGGAACGGGGGAACACGGCCCCGGGCAGCCTGAGCCACACGCGCCCCCTTACCCGCCGCGCAGCCACGGCCCACGCAGCGATGCACCCCTCACCGCGGGGCCACCACCAGTGGGCTTGGCCGCTTCCACCCACACTGTTCCCGGCCGGGCTGGCGGAGAGAGAACCGGCGAGTACAGGGCACCCGAGCGGCTGCGCGCCTCAACCCAGCGATAACCCCGACACCACCCGGCAGCCCTGAGCTACCTGCTGTCGCTGAGCAGGAAGCGGCAACTGCGCAGGCGCCGGTGGGCGGGGGTGGCCGCACGCAGGCGCCGGGCCGGACTGAGGCGGGTGGGTGCGCGGGGTCCTTCAGCTTGCCCCGCGGCGGCGGGGGGAGTGTGCGGCCTGGTACGGGTACCCCCGGGAGGGAGGGGAGAGGAGGGGAGGTGGTCACGGTCCGGGCTCCCCTTCGGTCTCCCCTGTTGTCGTCCTTCGGCCCCTCCCGCCTCCGGCGGCGCACGGAGCGCATCAGGCCTGAGCGGTAAGTGCTTCACCGTTCGAAAGGGGGTTCTGCCTTTCAGGTAAAGTGCAGAGAAATAAAATAGGTGATAAAACGTGTTGACGGTGTTTACAGGAAAGGGGTTGGAACGGGGCATGCGCTAAACATGGAGGAAGAAGAGGAAGACTACATGTCTGATTTATTTATTAAGTAGGTGGCTCTTTTTTTTTCTCCTCTCAAGTTACTGTAACCATGTTTTTAAGAGTGCTAATATTTGCTGGAGTTACTCTTAGACAGGATGTAAGGCCAGGTTTGCCCATGGTGAGGCGGGTGAAGGAAGCTCTTCAGAAAGAAGAAAAGCAAAAAGAAGCCAACGAGAAGAGCAGACAAAAGAGTATAAAAGAAGAAGAAAAAGAGAGACGTGACTTGGTACTGAAAAGTGCATTGGGCAGTGAGAACAAAGGCTTTGCTTTGCTCCAGAAGATGGGCTACAAGAGCGGCCAGGCCCTTGGCAAAAGTGGTAAGCTGTCACTGGAAGTGCATGCCTATATTCAGGTGTACCTTCATGTTTTACAGACTGTAGCTGCCACTTTATATTTAGACAGGGTGGATAAATGCCTCTCCAGGAACCCTAGTGCTGCTGAACTGTGTGTTGTGGGAGAACAAAAGGTAAATCTCCTAAAAAATGGTGTAGATTGACAGATGCAAGGGAATCAGCAATACTTGCTGTTCAGTAACTGCACTTCCATGTGTGCCTGCCTACGGGAATTGCTTTAAGGATATTTTCATGGTCTTGCAAAGCTAATAGTGTTCCACAAAAAGTCAGCCCTTCCCTTTGAAGTTATAGTTGGTTTCTGAAGAAATGGTACTCACTGGCCTACCCTTAGGAAGCTTTAGTAGATGAAGTAAAATAATGCATCAGTAACTGCTCTGCCAGTTCAGTGTGTCTTTAGCAGACAATTGACAAATTAAGTGGCCTGAACAGATCCTTTTTGTTCTTCATCTTTGTCAAGTTGAGAGAGTCTCAAATGAAAAATGCTACAGAAGCTTGTAACAAAGCAGTCTTTACCACAGGTACGTTATACCTGTCAAGTCAAGGCCATTTTCTTTCAGTTGGGTAATGAAAAAGAAAAACCACCCCAGGAAAATGTACATATTTAATAGTAAAAGCTGTTTGCCTGCTTGAATATACTGCACAAGTCATAATTTGAGAAAGACTTGATTTCTTAATCTGTTTTTTCCTTCACAGGAGAAGGCATTGTTGAACCTATTCCTCTGAACATAAAAACAGGTTTGTGATATTTCTTAATTTACTTAGTTAAGTATCATTGCTTCTGAACTGCTTACATTCGTGTTTTGAATTAACATAGGCAGAAGTGGGATTGGTCATGAGGAATTAAAAAAGAGAAAAGCTGAAGAAAAACTGGAAAACTATAGACAAAAACTCCATATGAAAAAACAAGCAAATGAACAAGCTGCAGATCAGTTCAGGTAAAATGATGTAACTGATGCTCCAAGCAATGTCTGAACTGGAATTCTTTTTATGCTTCAAGTTAGGTTATTCTTATAATGTGTTACTATTTTTTAATGTTTTGAATGAGAAGTAAGAGTTGAAGTATATAGTATGTTTCTTAGTTCTAAAGCAAAAGCAGATGCACACTAAAAGCATATGCTGCATCATTTATTTCTGTAGATGTTAATAACGCAAACAATATACATAGTAATTTAAGTCAACTTTTCCAGTTGGAGAACCATGTAATTTTTGTTAATAGCAGGGCCATAGCTAATCCTGAGCAGTGTTGCTACAGCAGTTTTTAAAATTAGAATGAATTTTTTTATGTTTTATTTTTATTTTCCCGATTTCCTTGTTATATGTGGACAAGGAAAGCCTAGGAAAGACTGTATCTTCTGTGGATGTTTAGTGGACCACTTGTATCTTAGGAAAACCTGATGAGGAATTAGTATTCAATATAGTGTGATCCAAAAAAAGCCAAGACATTCCCAAGAAATACTTGTGTGCTCCCAGAAAAACAATGTCAGAGGGACTTCTTAACTTCAGTGTTGTCCTGGTCTGAGAGAATTAGTAGGGCTAGAATCTTAGATTTTCTGTTTTAGAAAAACTACCAACTGTAATGCATCTCAGTTTTTTCTCTACCTGCTTATTTTATCTATCTACTTTTTCTTAATAGAATAAGATTTAAAAACAAACAAGAAGAACGTAAGATGGAAGGGGACCTCCGAAAAAGCCAGAGGGCCTGCCAGCAATTAGACATGCAAAAAGTGAGACTCTGTGGGTTTTTATGTTGGAAGGAAGGCTTATAGGTTAGACACACAGGCTGCAAACAAAATAGTGAGTCAGTTCTTGGAAGTTCTCTAAAACTGTGGGTGACTAGCCCAAAGTCTTCATGTTTGGCAACACTTCAGTCCTCTTAAAATATTTCAAAATACATATTTGCACCTTAATTTGCATTAAGATATCTGAAGGTGTACACCAACCTCGTGGTGAGTTATGTGAGGACCTATGTTAATTTGCATCATCATAGCTCACCTGTTTTCGCCCCCACATCCTTGTGGTTACTTCTGAGCTGTTAACATATCTTCCAGTAGCCAGTGTCAGGCCTCCCTAAATGACAGTGCTGTTTGCCTCAAGTGAGGGAACATCATCATCACAGAGTGGTTGACATTGGAAGAGGGAGAATCGAGGTCACCTTGTCCAACCTTCCTGCTCAAGCAGGATCACCTAAATCATGTTGTCCAGGGCAACATCCAGACATCTCTTGAGTATATGCAAGGATGGGGATCATCATTGAATCAGTAGATCCACCAAGGAAGGGTCTAAACAAAAAGCAAACCCAAACCAAAGTACCTTTCACCTGTAAGGAGTCACACGTAAACTATTATAAATTTCTGACCGTTGAAAACTTCAAGTACTTTTTTTTTTTTTGTTTGTCAGTTAACCTGTTAATACCACCCCCCCTTTTTTTTTTTTAAAAAGATAAAAGTAAGTAATCCTTCTTGTGGACTGTTCTGCTTGATTTCCCCACTACAGTTTTCGTGATTCTTGGTTATATTATACAGGGTATTTAAAATCTAACATCTCACGTACTAGAAACTGGTTTTATCCAGCATCTAACAAGAAACCCTGCAAGGGCAGATAATTTTCATTTAAATCTTTTGTTATTTAAGGATATTGATGTTCCTAAGGAGAGTTGGTACTGGCTAGAACCTGAAGAGGAAGACGAAAACGATGAGGAAGACAAGGAAGATGAATGCACAAGCTCAGACTTAAGTGTAAGCTCTGCAACTACATTAATGGCTTGATTCAGACTTAAGTTAAATATTCCTTTAAAAAGTGTCTATGTATACTTATGAGTATGAAGGACATATGTGTACAGGTCACTTTCCAAGCTGTAGCGAATGGCCTCTTTGCAATCTTAGAGCATTATTATAGCAGTTACAGGATATAATGCAAAATGCTAAGCCACTGATTTATTGCTCATTGGTTTTGAAGCTGGTCTTTGGAAAAAATAGCCTAGAATTTAAATTCTAAATATTTTTGTGTCTTTGTCAAGATATGCAAGACCATGTATATGATCAAAGTTACTTGCTTTTGAGTTTTCATTTTGGATGCCTCATCTCATGTCTTAGGCTGAATTTTAGAATCATTAAGGAATTTCTGAAAATGCTTCAGATGATCTCAAGAGAGATACTGGAAATTCACATCTTTTGAGAACGAGATTACACAGCTGCTGTTAGCTGTATGTGTTTTGTTTGCAGAGATTAGGTCTGAAAAATTACACCAAAAACATCGTATACTTGAAATAAAGTAGCTAGGTAATATTTTTAGCTCTTCAGTGCAGATTTCATAGCTAGAAAGAAGGATGAGCAAATAACAGCCATAAACTTTTCAGAGATTGTGAATTCCTGTGCAGTGTACTACAAATATGGGGAACTTAATGCCTTACTGAGCTACAGTATTGTGTAGCTTTTCCATAGAAAATGGTTAAACAGTCTATTTTAGTAAAGGTAGTAGCTCACAGTTAGTGTCAGACCCAGATCATTGCATACCTCTACATATCCCTAGGTATCGGAAAAGCTGCACCTCCTGACTGCCTATTTGAGAGAACACCACTTTTACTGCATTTGGTGTGGCATAACCTATGAAGGTGAGAGTAAACCTGTTGTGTGTTTTACTTTGCTTGTGCAGCTGGATTCAAATAGTAAAATATATCCTTCATGTTTCTCTTACTGGGTGCTTTAAGCTTTACATAGCTAGTTTTCCTGCTGTGTTTTGCACAAAGCTTTGTACATTTTGATTATAAACCAATTTTTAGGCATTCATGTGCATAAAAAAAACCCTCTGAACAGCCAACCACACAGGCTGTTAATTTGATTTGGTATTCATATTAATTTGAGGAAAAAAAATAGATTAAAACCAGTACCATGCAAAGCTGTGAAAGGTTGCAGATGTTTCTGAAAGAATTGGAACGCTATCCCAATTCACTGCACCAAAAAGGGTAGAATTTGTGTTCACTTGTTTTAGCAACTTTCCCCCACTCCCTATCCCGCTCTGAGCTGGAATTACTCACTTTTTCTCTGCTTATCCTGTAGACTCTGAAGATTTATCTTCAAACTGCCCTGGAGACAGTGCTGCAGATCATGACTAACCGCCTTCTAAAGGAAAAACCCCTAGGTAAGTATGTATAGTTCACAATATCTTTTGGAAGGTATGGAGCTGTGCCATACTAAATAATTTATATCAAAGTACACAGAAGGATAGTTTGCAGTTAAACTCACATTTCTGAAGCATCTTATAGATTCTCTACTTGATGCATAAAATAATAGGAATTAAAACTTTGCATTTATAGTTGAACTACAATATTATAGGCAGGTTAAGCCTTCCATAGTCTTTGTTTATGCCCCATCCAACTGAGCAAGACCAGCTGATAATAAAATTCAGGTTTCAGTAAGGAATAAATACTGGCTAGTTACTCCATTGTACAGTGTGTTAAACATAATTTATTTTTCATCTTTACAAAGATAACTAAACATCACTTTCTTTGCTTTACAATCTTAGACCTGGTGGGGAAAAAAAATTGTGAAATATTACAGAGACATTATTTGAACCAACATTCTATGGCACATAAAGGTGCATATTTTGCGCAACTAAACAGAATCATAGAATAGTTAGGGTTGGAAAGGACCTTAAGATCATCAAGTTCCAACCCCCCTGCCATGGGCAGGGACACCTCACACAAAACCATGTCACCCAGGGCTTTGTCCAACCTGGCCTTGAACACCACCAGGGATGGAGCATTCACAACTTCCTTGGGCAACCCATTCCAGTGCCTCACCACCCTCACAGTAAAGAACTTCTTCCTTATATCCAATCTAAACTTCCCCTGTTTAAGTTTGAACCTATCACCCCTTGTCCTACCACTACAATCCCTAAAATAGTGCTAGATCATGTTGTTGGAGGATTTTTATATATAAAATATATAAATATAAAATATATAAAAAAATATTTTAATTGACGTTTTATTTTTAGGAAACAGCAATTGCTACTGTAAACAGTCCCTAATAGAAATGTACTGCTGAAATAACAGATACTAGAAAAAAAGTATCAAAAAATAGCGGGACAGGGTCAGTATTACTTAACAGTAGAAAGGTAACGGTATTATGTATGCTCTGTCCAAGAACTATAAAGCTTGGCATATACCAGTTTTCATATTGCAAGAGTAGTTGTATAGAAGTATAGAATCATTAGGGTTTGACAAGATATTTAAGATTGACTACAACTGTATGTCAGTTAGATCCCAGTGCGTGGAAAGAGGCAGTGGAACTCCCAGATCTTGACCACAACAGGGAAACGGTAGTTGGTATTGAATAGTAAAATGCTGTATGCATCCCAGCCAGGGATCAGGCTAGGGAAGCTAAAGCCCTGGTAGAATTACATCTGGTCAGGAACATCAACAGCAACACCAACATCTGTAGGTATGTTGGTGATAAAACAAATACTAGGGGAAATGTGGGCCCTCTCTGGAAGAAAACAGGAGACCTGGCTATCTGAGACATGGAGAAGGTTGAGGTGGGCAATCAAGTTTTTTCCTCAGTCATCACCAGCAAGTGCTCCATCCACACCACTCAAGTTGTAGAAGGCAAAGGGCAAAGGCAGGGATGCCTCTGGGGAGAATGAAGAACCTGCTGTATGCGATCAGGCTTGATGCCATCTAAGGAACCTGAAGATGCACAAGTCTGTGAGACCTGAGGAGATGCATCCACAGGCCCTGAGGGAACCAGCAGATGAAGTTGCTAAGCCACTTGAGTTGGGGTTGTTCAGCCTGGAGAAGGCTTTGTCAGGACCTTTGTTAGGACCTTTGTCAGCCTTCCAGTACCCAAAGGAAGCTTACAGGAATTCTGGAGAGAGACTTTTTACAAGGGCATGTAGTGACCGGACAAGGAATGGCTCTGACTGAGAGGGTAAATTCTGGTGAGACATTAGGAAAAAGTTCTTTACTGTGAGTGTGGCAAGAAACTGTAAGAGGTTGCCCAGAGGAGCTGTGGCTGCCCCATCTCTGGCAGTGTTCAAGAACAGGTTGGATGGAGTTAGCAGCAACGTGTTCTAGTGGAAGATTTCCCTGCCTCTGTTGTAGGGGAGTTGGAACTAGATGATCGTTAAGGTCCCTTCCAACCCAAACCATTCTGTGATTGGGTATTTGTGATTCATGATAAGGCAAAAAACAAAAACCACTTCAAGCTTTAGAAAAGGATGTAAATCAGATTCTTACTTAGCAATAAATACTTGCAGACCAGCAATAATTTCCATAAGAATATAAAAATTACTGTGCATTCATTTATATTATTCCTTTTAAGCAAGCACCCACTCAAAATCTGGTTTTGGAAGTTTAAAGCAAGTCTAAACTCTATTACTGTATTTTTAAGTTCTAGAGCACTGAAGGAAGTAGGTGTTCAACAGGAATGTAGAGCTGCTGTAAAGAACTGTTGGAAAAAAAAAAAAAAAAGAACCGTAAAGAACTGAAATTCAGTGAATAACCCAACACCAATTCCTAGTATTTTCTCTACCTCAATTAGTCTTTGTATTAATGACAGTATTCTAGTAATTATTAAAAACATCACTGAACAAATCAGAAAGGTTTGAATCACATACCACAAGACAGCACTTCTTCAATGGTAGATAACCTCAACTGATAATGGATGCAACACGTGTTAAGAGCACGCATACAGTGATTTGTCACAGGCCAGTTAGCACCACCACAACTTAATCTTCTAGGAGACGAGGACTAGGTTGCTTTATGTGCTGTAGAATATAGTTCAGCTCATCCACAACCTGTGTTTCCAGGTAAACTCGCAAGTGATTGCTTGCAGAAGCATGGTACCCTGGTCTGCAGCTGATGGGTGTGAATGGTGATATGATGCTGATGAGCTTCTCAATGGCAGGAAGGCAAAACACCAAGGAAAAGACATAACCCAAGTCTTGCTGTTGCTTCTGACATGTACTGGTATTTCATCAGTTTTAAGAGACATCAAACTCTGGATTTAAACACAGTAAAAGCTTTTTCAAAGGACATTTACTTAGTATGAGTTCTAAATGGCTTGTCTTTATCAACAGACTTTAAAAGTTCAAGTATTTGAGATGCAGAGTATCTTCGTGAAGGGTCTCTTGAAAGCATCTTTTTGATTATGGGTGCCTGTATAAAGAAATAAATGTCAGTAAATTATCTTTAATTAGTAAATAAACTAATTGAAATAATGTATTAAAACCCCATACCTCTGATGGAAATCGGTTGCTGAAGCTCTCTGGAAGTTCACCATCTCTAACTTCACTCCATACCTGAGATTCATAAAAAAGAACAGGTTTAGGATGTTTTTATTTATTATATTTTGCGTCTCACTTTATGACTCATATAGGTTACTGAAGTAAATAGGAAAATGCAACTGTGCAAAAAAGGCAGGGCTTCGGAAAGCCCTTTCTTTTCAAAAAGAAAGTAACTGAAAAGTTTGAAAGGTTTTTTTACCTCTAATTCTACCTTGGTTTTGTGTTTGTCCCTTTTTAAGTTTAAAGTTTCACATGCTACAACACTGTGTTTCTTCCAGCAGTCCTCTACTTCAGAACCATTATTCTTCTTAATTTAAAAGTAGTGGGTTTATAGCCTCTTACCACATTAAAAAAAAAAAACAACAAAACACAAAAACAACAAACCAAAATGCACAAACCAGTTTTTCTTTACTTTGGATTTTTCCATATGTTTCCTACTTTGGATGTTGCCATTAGCCAAGTAGGTTTGTTTCCTCCCTTTTACTTAGCGCTTTAGTTCAAAGAGGCTAACATTGAAAGCATTGCTAATTACATGCTGTCAACTTTTGCGGTTTCAATCCACATGATTTAGCTTTCTAGGTAAACAGAGCAGTCCACACCATCCATTTGCTGTTAACTGGTGTAATTTTTGCCTAAAAGAAGATAACAGTCCTGTTGCAGCACACAGCTATGCATCCTGAATCATTAGCCAGTCTTATGGATGCTACAGCCTGACTTAGCAAGCCCTTATAACCAGTATGTAGTAAAACAAGAGTTGTTCCCATGAACTTAGAGCTTTACCCCTACTCTTCCGCTTTAGGCCTGTGAGCCTACCTGCTGGTGAGCATCAGCTGAACCAGTTACTTAGCTCATAATCATTAGCTTTGCTTTTACATGATGTTCTTTGATCAGGGCTTGCCAGCAACATACAACAGAGTTTATCATGCTCCATTAAGGGAAATTGTTCCCTAAACTGATGGAGCACTTGAAGACCATCCTAGGACTTCCCATCCACATGACTTCCCCATTTACCTGTAGACACAAGACTTTTATGCGTCAAAGAAACAAGACTAAGTAATTGGTCTTGCCCTTTCACCTATAACATCATGGAACTGTGAACACATTAGCACTGTCAGCTATTAGCAGGAGCAAGATGGCTTAGAAAATGCTACATGGTAGCTGAAGTTGAACCTGTGAGTCAAGCAGACACATTGGTGTGGTTTTCTCATAATGGCAAAAGGACCAAGCTAACTGTTCAAGAGCTTCTGGGTCCAGCCATGTACGTATATCTTGCAATTACTTTTGATAACATCCTCAGCAGCTCCATCACTGTCCTACAAATATGAAGGTTTGAGCATACAAGCCATTACACTCATAATGTGCAAAGTACCAAGAAAGCGCAAGAGAGACATAAAAGATCCCTTTTCAAAAAAAAAGCTTAAGTAACACTGGTTTTCTTTTTGAAGTAGCATCTTTGTGGGGTTTTTTTTGCTAGACATTATTCTTTAGCATGCTCAGGCTTTAATGTGTACGTCAATAAGACATAAGTGAAATCAGTAGTATTTCTTTAATTTGGTTATTACATTTCAACGGAGATGTGAGGACTTACGTGCCTTACAGAAATTAATCAAGGGGAAAATGTAAATAGAAACAGTGTTATAGATACACAGATTGCTTCTAGCGTGCTATTAGCATGTGATCCCAGCAGCAAGGCAAAGCAATGACAGTGAGACTTTTTTAAAGATTACATACCTTCTCTTTCTCATGACCACTGAATGCCGAAAGAATCTCAAACCAAATTAACCCCAGTGCATAAATATCTACTTCCTTTCCGTATCTGTCCCCGAACTACAAAGATCAGAACAAGAACAATGCAGTCAAATCCAACTGGACAGCACTCTTAAAACAATTTTTGAAGAGAGTAAGAAATTCCCACCCCAAGACTTCAGGACTGGCCCTACTTGATCTCCTCATCAGTCATTACCCCTTTCTCCTACAACTAGTTTGTCACATCAGTGCAAGAGCATTCCTTACAGCACGCAGTGTCAGGACAGCAACAGAAAATCACCACACTTGCAGACAGCTTTCTCCAGAATGCTGTTATGCTCATATACAGTTATACCAGAGAACTTTAGGCAACCTTGTTTAATACCGAGATTAGGATCAAGAACATCCAATACTGACTTTATAATGCAAATGTAGTAACAGAGACACTAATACAGCAGGATAATTACCTGTTCTGGTGCCATATATGATTTTGTTCCTGTGTTCCCAGTCAGATTCTCACATGTCACAGAAGTCACAAGACCGAAGTCGCCTATTTTTATTTTATCTTCATCTGATATGAATATATTCTGAGGCTATATGTAAAAAATGAAAAATCACTATATGACCAAGGTTTATTGTCAAGCACAATCAGCCACAGAAGTGCTCGCCATAAAATGTCATAATTGTTCATAGAAATTAGCATTAAGAAATTGATGGGGTAGGAAGCAGAGAAAAAATGCAATTAATTTTTAAAAACAAACTCAAAATAGTACATGACACAGTAACTGCAATGGGTTGGGTTTTTTTCCACTAGCTCAGTCATAACTATGCCATGCTTTAATGTTCTTCAAGTACATTGTGCTTATAACATTTCATATCCAGAAATGTTTCTTAGTCTCCAGTCCTAGCCCTAGAATTTGATGCATGGGCAAAGCATTTAGGGTCACATTGAATTCCACTCAAATCCTAGTTTCTTCTAGGCACAGCAGCATTATCTGTACACAGACAATCGCAGTGCTGGAGCTTACTACAGGCATTTCACAGTATCACTTCTAAGTTTCCACTGAACTTATTTTATTTCAACGTAAAGATTGTGCACTTGTAGAGACTGAAGTCCTATCCAAAAAAGCAGCATTGAAATGTTTGCACATGTAATGAAAGAGCAACTAGAATATGCTGTTATCAAACACAGCATGTATTAGGGTAGATGAACTATCCCTTTACAATATGGCAAGAGCAAACTTCCTAGACCCAACTTTTTCACTTTCTTACTTCTAATTATTTTATCAATAAAGTTAGTATTTATTTTTCCGGTAGGCAGTCTGGTGACCCAGTAACACATAACACACTGAAAATGCCTGTTAACTGATGGCTGCAGATTTCTTTAACTATTGCATTCTGAGATCCTCCAGTTTACCTTCTGACTTGAGGATGAAGTCAAGCCAGTTGCTGAAAAAAACAATTCCTAGCAATATCAGAAGAAATACACTACTAGGGTACGTAACAAGCTAAAAGACTAGAACTATTTTAACATTTTAAGAAATTCCAAAGAGTACTATTTTTATCTTTTTTATTATTACCTACTTACCTTGAGGTCTCGATGAATTAAGCCTTTAGAATGAATATATTCTACTCCTTCCAGTATTTGCAAAAATGTGGTTTGTGCCATCTCATGATACTTTCGGTCTCGTCTGTTCTTTTCAATCCAGTTTTCCAATGGCCCTTGTTCACATAATTCCGTTTGAATGAAAAGACAGAGAATTTTTTTGTCTGACTTCTGCCTGCAAAAGGAAATTTTATACCATATTGAAATTGGCAAGATACAATTCCTCTCAAGCCATCAATGACTGTCAGTTTCCACTTCTTTAAAAAGTTTTGTTAATTACTGGGTTTGGAGTTCTCCAAACCAAGGTCTTCAAGCCTCTTGCTTTTGAAAAAGATTCTAGACCAATTTGTACTAGATAAAAATAAATAGAACTGCAAACCAAACAGTCCCTGGCTCAGTTGCTCCATACCCATGGAATAGCCCCAATGTTTTGCTTGCTTCCGTTCACACCAAAAGGTTTCTGAATGTCCAAATTCTGGTTCATGTCATGTCTATACAGGAAGAAGTAGCACTGTCCTTGGCACACATCGTGCCCTCTAGCAACTGCTGCAAGTCCCTGGCAGGTATTCTCTATTCTGCTCAACAAACACGGAATTAGCTTTCCTCTACTACCCAAAATTTTCATTCTTTCAAACTCTGTCCTTCTGAAAGCTGGAAATCTAGATGAAACATATTTGTCCACCTGACAGCCTCACACTTTTCAGTAGATACCCCTCACCATCAGCCCATAGGATAGGCTGGGGCTGGAGATGGTGAGGGGAAGGACAATATGAAGAGGAGACACCACGTTTTCCTACTTGCACTATGTGATTCAAGTGTCCCGAAATAAAGCTGCCTGAGGTACTGAAAGAAGAAACATTAAATGGCTCGGGACTCTCTGCAGTTTTGAGGTCAAGTCACTAAGCGGAATTCCAGGCTGGGACCTCAGCTTTGAAGACTTTTTTCTGTCTTTTACCCAATAACTGTTCAATATAAAATGCATTACTGATACTGAGATTCCAACATATTAATCATTAGGTTTTGATGAGACATTTCCCCTCCATTTTATTCTTTATTTACTGACCACATAGGACAGATATCATGCCAACCATAATTTTGAATCCATTAGTATTTCATGGCTCTAGGTAGAGGCTAGGCAACCTATCTGAAAGGTACAAATTTATAGCTAGTGAAAAAAGCTTACGACGGAAGCTTTGAGAAGTTAATCTAACTTACAAGTAAAACTCTCACCGCTGTCTTCCCAGAAGTCTTAGTGTTGGAAGACTACCTCTAAATGAAAGACATTTCGTTTTGTATTTCTGTTCTCAACAGCCAAAAACATTTCAGGCATTATGGTTAAAATGCTAACTTAGAGAAATCATTAAATCTATGGGAGCTACTGGCTGGCCAGTACTTGCTCAAAAAAGGAAATTTCTGATCAAGAATTTGGCAGCCTGCTGCCAGACATATTTTAGTTTCTGTTCTTAATTCTAGCCCCAGATTTTGAGTTCTGCATTCTTATACTCTTCTATAGATTCAGCAAATTTTGTATATTAAGAAAGAGGAGAAAGATAAAATTACATATCTTACTCATCAAGAAAAAGAAGATATAAATATGCTTAATTATATACAACCTGCTGTTGAAAAGGACTGTACCTTTTTCCTAGCAGGAACTATGGAATTATGTGTATGCATTTATATTTGTGTAAGGATTTATAACCAGTCACCAGCCTTTCCTTTTACAACACAAGATTCACCATAGCAAACAAATTTGTAAGTGAAAACTACTGTTTTGTAGTTACCTTGAGGCTGGAGAAGTTACATGGTCGTACCCTGGCCAGCTATTGTAATACCGCACAATGTTTTTGTGTTCAAGTCTTGCAAGTTGTTTTACTTCACGCATGTTCCTATTTGGAGTGAGGGAGGAATCATTTCCCAATAAAAATATTAAGTTAAAGACACGATATAAAGTAGCAGTATACAAGTAGTTTTACATTCATTTAGAAAAAGCCCACAAACGATAATCATAGAATCATAGAATCGTTAGGGTTGGAAAGGACCTTAAGATCATCAAGTTCCAACTCCCCTGCCATGGGCAGGGACACCTTACGCTAATCTTATCACCCAAGGCCTCGTCCAACCTGGCCTTGAACATTGCCAGGGATGGAGCATTCACAACCTCCCTGGGCAACCCATTCCAGTGCCTCACCACCCTAACAGGAAAGAATTTCCTTCTTATATCCAACCTAAACTTCCCCTGTTTAAGTTTTAACCCATTACCCCTTGTCCTGTCACTACAGTCTCTAATGAAGAGTCCCTCCCCAGCATCCTTATAGGCTCCCTTCAGATACTGGAAGGCTGCTATGGGGTCTCCATGCAGCCTTCTCTTCTCCAGGCTGAACAGCCCCAACTTCCTCAGCCTGTCTTCATACGGGAGGTGCTCCAGTCCCCTGATCATCCTTGTAGCCCTTCTCTGGACTTGTTCCAACAGTTCCATGTCCTTTTTATGTTGAGGACACCAGAACTGCACACAATACTCCAAATAAGAGCAGACTAGAGGGACAGGATCACCTTCGACCTGCTGGTCACGCTCCTTTTAATGCGGCCCAGGATACGGTTGGCTTTCTGGGCTGCAAGCGCACACTGAAGCCGGCTCATGTTCATTTTCTCATCAACCAACACCCCCAAGTCCTTCTCCACAGGGCTGCTCTGAATCTCTTCTCTGCCCAACCTGTAGCTGTGTCTGGGATTGCTCCGACCCAGGTGCAGGACCTTGCACTTGTCATGGTTAAACCTCATGAGGGTGGCATCAGCCCACCTCACAAGCGTGTCAAGGTCCCTCTGGATGGCATTCCTTCCCCCCAGTGTATCAACTGAACCACACAGCTTGGTGTCATCGGCAAACTTGCTGAGGGCGCACGCAATCCCGCTGTCCATGTCAGCAACAAAGATGTTGAACAAGACCGGTCCCAACACCAGTCCCTGAGGGACACCACTCGTTACTAGTCTCCAGCTGGACATTGAGCCATTGACCACAACTCTTTGTGTGCGGCCATCCAGCCAGTTCTTTATCCACTGAGTGGTCCATCCATCAAATTGGTGTCTCTCCAATCTAGAGACAAGGATGTTGTGTGGGACAGTGTCGAACGTTTTGCACAAGTCCAGGTAGATGACCTCAACTGCTCTACCCCTGTCCATCAGTTCTGTAGCCCCATCACAGAAGGCCACCAAATTGGTCAGGCAGGATTTCCCCTTAGTGAAGCCATGCTGGCTGTCACCAAGCACCTTGTTGATTTTCCTGTGCCTTAGCATGCCTTTCAGGAGAATCTGCTCCAAGATTTTGCCAGGCACAGAGGTGAGACTGACTGGTCTGTAATTCCCTGGGTCATCCATTTTCCCCTTCTTGAAAATGGGGGTTATATTTCCCTTTTTCCAGTCATCGGGAACTTCACCTGATAATATTCTCCTTCATTCAAATTCAAAATTATTATTACACATTCTGTGGGGTTTTTTTCATCCGCTCAGTTATTCAAAGTAAAAAAAAAGTGGCTTAACCATATTAGAAATGAAAGCCCCACTGAAAAAAAAAACAAAAAAAAAAAGTAAAAACAAAAAACCTGAAAAAAAGCAGATTGCTGCATTGCATAATTACATCGTATATCCAAACACAAGGTAGCAAACACCCATGTTTTCTCGTCACCGCTGTGAAGTTTGTTTACATATACAGAAGTCAGTGGAAATACTCAGGAAGAATTCTTACTAAATTTGGCCTGTCCTTGTAACAGTGCCTACTGAAGTAAGTTCAAACCCATCAGCACATCAGTCTTTATTTGAAGAATCAGGAAAATGTTTGTTAGTGTAGTTCTCAAGATTGCAATACAAATGAAAAGAACAAGTATCTGTGAAGATCACAGCAATTTGATGGGCAGTTGAACAATGTAAGGGTCACGTATTTCCAACTTGAAACCTTTTGTATAGATTACGTAAAAGACAATCAAGTTTTTCAGCCGGTGATCAAGTACTCCACTAGGGCAGGTTACAGAAAACCACTTTAAAAAAAAATTGGGATCATCACTAGTAAGTAACAAGTAACACAGCATGAGAATAATGACTACATGGGTCATATATAAAGCATTTTCCAAGTAGAAACCATAAAATGTATTACTTTCATTTTTCTCTGTTTTCCCTAATCAGAGTTGTTATGCATTACCAATGTGTAAACTTTCCACGTAACCTGTCAAAAGTAACAGTGCTGCTTTCAATGTTTTATTAATCAGCAGGCTTTCTTCAAACATATTTTGTAGTATTAATAACCAGAGCACTACTGTGTTCAGGGAAGGTAGAACTTAACAAATCTACTTCCTTACAGCTGCAACTGAAATTATTCCAGTGCATGCAAAAACCAACATGCTGTTTTCAGCTTCACTTAGAAATAAAGGATAGGTTTATCAGAAAGAACATGCGACTAATAATGAAAATTGCTAAAATCTTGATTAAAGTTATCCTAAAATAAAAATTAGAAATAAATATACAGTACATACTTTGTGAATTGAACTCGTTTGACTGCATAGGTCCTCTCATCAAGCTTTGCTGTTGCTTTGAAAACATTCCCAAAGCCACCTTCACCAATAGGTTCTATGTTCTTAAAACTCTCGAGAAATCTTAAAAAAATATAAAATTATATATATATATATATATATATATATATATATATATATATATATATATATATATAAAAAAAAACTTTAAGCATACTTAATGCTAAATTTCTAAGATATAAAAATGATCCTGACAGGTCTACTACATCTGCTGCAACATTCTAGATATCACTCAGCATTATACAAGTCTAAATCACAGCCCTGAAGATTAAAAAAACAAATAAAAAGGGAACCTGACCCCTGAAAGCGTGTAGGGTAATCACTCTCACATCTTCACACAAATGACCTTTGGATGTAACCATCAAAGGACATTGCATGTCAGTTGCTATACTATAAACTGACATTTCCAGAGGAAAAAGAAAAAAATATTTCAAATACCAATTAGCTTTGAAAGTTATTTTTATAGCTGTACTTTCCTACATTCTGTTATTAAAAAAAAACCTCAAATCTAGACCACTACATACTGTAATTGCCATACAAATCTTGAAAAAAAAAAAGTCCTTCTTACCTTTTATCCATAGTGTATGGGCTTTCATTTCCCTCACTGGTATTTGTGTCCAACCCTGGCAAACTCTCATCTGACATCTTTTTTACCTCTTCCTTGTCTCTCGCATTATCAAAATTAGCTGCCAATTTTCTGTAACAAGGACAAATGCAAAACTTATAATGGCCATTTTCCTAATATCTGGCAAAAGAAATGTACCTCCCAATAGTGCCACTTCTTTACTAGATATAGAAACACTACAGTGGTTTTCAATACAGCTTATGGGGGATAACAACCTAGAAACAGACACGTACCTTTGGGGTTTCAGAGCAGAACTTGGTGTGTTTCTCTAAATGAAAAAGAGAAAAAAAACAACACTCTAAGTGAAATATCCTGGATATTTTAACTATATTTAGTTTAAAATATGTCTGAGAACGTATATAGGAATTGTCTATATATGTGTTCATACCTTATATATGCAATGTAATATGAATGAAGCCACATCTTAGCTTCTAATTTTCACATATGCTATGTATGACATTATCATACTCTTCCCACAGAAGAATACAAGCTTAGTTTGGTTCCTTCTCTTGGGAGTACTGCCCATTTGGTCAACAGCACATAGATTGGGTCTAAAGTACAGAAGTAAATGACTAACGGTTAACAGCACAAATGTCCTAAATATTCTTAGGGAAAAATCGCACATGTTTTCTAGTGATTAGTGGATAAAGGAACAAACTGTTGCTACACTCTTTCAAGAGGCTTGCTCTATTCAGGATCTAAAATGTAGTTATGAGGAAGACCATTTTCATACTATACCTGAGAAGGTGAAGGCTTTTCACATACTGCCATGTTTTTCATTTTGTCTGCCAAATTTGCAGCTGAGTCTTTAAAGCAAATACTGTTGCTACTGAAAAGTAAGCAACTAGGTTTACATGAAAGTAAAACAAATAAAATGATTGCCACAATTAAAGAAAAATGCATAACCCCCCATAGATTCTAAAACCAAAACCTGGAAAATCATTAACAATTGTGATGGATTTAAAGTACAAAACTTTATGCTGGAAAGCTAATGAAACAACATTTTGTAATATAATCCTCTATTTCTATGATCTGATGTCATATCTTTATGATACGTATTTTATGATCTCCATTAAATAAATAGGTTAAACACAGATGTTTATGTTAAGACAGCACAGCCACCTCTAGCATTATACATACTGGCTTTCTTTAGAATCCCACAAAGAACATAAAAGAAGTGTTAGTGGCACTGCAGTTAAATTAACTGCTGACCTCAAAAGGCTTGACCTAGGGTTTCCAAATCACAAATGAAACTTTCTGCAGGTTCATTGTCTTTCACTAAGCAAATTTGCCCCTTGTATATGGGGAATGGAAGAAAACAAGTAAAAACTCCGTATCTCACAAAAAAAACTCACACAAAAACAGAGAAGAAACCAGAATGTAAGGCACAAGAAAAGTATTTGAGTTGTATTATACTGAGTTGACAAGAGTATCGTAATAGGAAAATGTGTTAAAATTGGCATTCAATAATGCCATTATAACAATGAGGTAAGGTTATTCTGTTTACATCACCGTAAAATTGCTTCTGAAAAAACTCACAGCAAAAAGTAAATATTATCAGAAAGCTCTACAATTACAAGCTAACCCATAAGGACTCAAATAAAATTGCACAAGCATAACAGATTTTTCTCTGGCATGTAAGAAGTTCAAGTCAAACGGCTTTATTCTGCATTAAGAAAACTAACACAGATTTTATTAATAACCAGAACACATGACCCTCTAAGATTAGTAAATACACTTTGTTATCACACTATCAGTGAACCCAACTTACTCCGAGTCAGACTGAGTTGACACTTGATGGGAATCGCTATTGTTGCTAAATGTAGAGTTGCTGTTAGATGTTTCATTTCCCATCTGAAAAACAGAAACAAAACCACAAAAAAAAAAAAAGTTTAACAAAAACATGTAAAAAATCCCATTCAAAGAGGGGAGAGGGAAGATCACAAGATCCTAAGTGGAAGCTGTTAGCTGCACTGAAGATTCAAAAGCCCTGCAGAAGAAAGGCATCTGCCTAACTTCCACCCAGAGGAGTGGGACACTGGGCCCTGTCACAGACAGCAATTTTCCCACTCATATTTAGACTATATAGACATATTTATATATTTAGACTATATAGATATAGGCAGGAGTCTTGGACCTGTTAAAAATCAGGATAAAAGTATTTGCTATTTATAAAGGTTATAAATAGCAAATGTTTTTATTGTACATGCAATTGCCTGCATGGAAAACAAGAATTATGAAGGCTTTAGTATGTGTAATCAGCAGAACAGAAAATTTCAGTCTGTACAAAAAGACATTTAATATCTTTGGTGTGAAAGCCCTGTAAAACCTAGATTACCAAATCAGGGTTCACTAAAATAACCTAATTCTACTACTTAGTAGAGGTTCTTCCTCTTCCCCCCTCCATGTCTTAAGAGCATAAATGTAACATTAAAAGCAACACCTACCATTGTTACAGTCCATAAGCAAACAAAAAGGTTTATGTGTCAATGATACCATGTGCCAATGATACCAAACTTTCTTTTATTTTTTTTTCCTTTAATTTGGGAGTAGTGGGCTTTTACTACTTTTTGCTGGTTACGTTTTGTTTGTTACACACACATCATAGAATCATAGAGTCGTTAGGGTTGGAAAGGACCTTAAGATCATCAAGTTCCAACCCCCCTGCCATGGGCAGGGACACCTCACACTAAACCATGTCACCCAAGGCCTCGTCCAACCTGGCCTTGAACACCGCCAGGGATGGAGCATTCACAACCTCCCTGGGCAACCCGTTCCAGTGCCTCACCACCCTAACAGGAAAGAATTTCCTCCTTACATTGCTGGGAATTAATAAACATTCAAACTAAACCAAAACAACCAATACCCTAATTTTAGAGTAACAACTACAGAGATTCTTTTTAAGTAGGAAGTTTCAGACTTCAATGAAAATCCAAAGACCCATGAGCTCACAACATAGGAAAATATTAAGAAAGCATCCTAGAGCTTTAATAGGCCATTAATTCCATGGTTAACTTAAAAGAATTCTTTCCTCCACCATACTGCTTTCCTTCCCTTTAAATTACATTCAAGTTAGTTCCTATGTACTGTTCTCTGCCTTTCAGAAGTGGGTTTAGATCACTGTTAGGATTCTAATGGTTTTTTGCAATATGAAAATAGGACCACCAACATGAAGACAAGAGTTCTGCTCTACAGAAGAAGGTGTTTGTAATTGTTTTACTAGACTCTCCCTTGGAATACTACAAAAAGCAAGCCCTGTTGATTCCCACTCCCCCTTTTGCCTTTCTTGCATTGCACGGTACACTTTTGATCCAACAGAAGGCAGCAAGAGATTTATTTTCTTAGCCAGTCAGCTCAACAGCAGTTCACACAGGAAACACCCAGTACATTAGAGCAGTCAGAATTCAGAATCTTTTCAGACATGTGCATCCTTGACTGACAACATATCAGACCCTCTTCTGAAATGCACAGAGATACCGACTGTGAGATTTCTTTTTTTAATCCAGCAACTGAATATAGAAACACAACAAAAATTTTACCTACAGAATCCCGTAGCCCAAAAAACCCACCAAAATATGGATTGTTTTCCCCTTAAGTGGAATCCGTGGAATGTGATTTTAAATAAAATGAGGAAATCTGTTCAAAGATTACAGATACAAGAATTAAACTCCCATTTTAAGGTGAAATATAGCACATACTGTTATAGCGCCTTCCTCAACTAGCTTCTCAAATGCTTGTTTTGCAGCAGCTTGTTTTGCAGCAGCTAGACAAGGTCCAGTGCCATTTCCATACACATAACCACTAATTGTACAGCGACAAGAAAACCTAGAAAACACATCAGGGATTAACATCTTATACCCCATACAACAAGTCTTAGTTTAATGATTTTAAAAACTACAGTCAATTGACATCATAGAATGGAAATCCAAAACATAAATCTTCAGGACAGTATTTCCAATGCACATTTAATCTAATTAATAAAGGCAGATAACTATTTTGACATACCTTCAAGTTAACCAATTTTCAGAGATTGAATATTTAGCACTTTTTAAGATTGAACTCCTCAAAGCATCATCATACGCACCCACAATCACAAAGTATCTGCAGTTTAGGTTTTAAAATGATTGATTTTGCAGGGGAGTAAAGGAGAAGCTTTCCAGCAGATACTGTCAAGAGTTAAAATACATAGATATTCTTTATCATCCCTCAGCTGTCATTAACTGGAATGTTTCTGTGAGTCACTAACTGCTATACACATGGAAGGAGACACAAACAGGCTCTCCTTGGCACTTGGTTCCTACAGGTCTCCAAGATACATGCCGAGAGATAACACAAAGGTGCTAGAGCTACAACCAAGAGAACTGACAATTTATCTACACTGACTACCATTTTATCATCATGCCATCTCTTTCACTAGCTAAACAGACTCAGTCCTCTTAGCCTCTCATACCACATCCTCCAACTACTTGACCACCTTAATGGCCTTCCACTGGATTCTCTCCAGACTACCTCTGAATTATTATTGCATTTCTATAGATTCATCTAATGCTACTCAGGATAACTAATGGTAGTGTGTCATAGTGTTATACAATACAAAGAAATATCAAAAGCAAGTACGAAGACAAAAGTACATCTTACACAGGAGCATGAGCATCTCCAGTACGTGTGTTAGGATAATCAACTCTTTGCAAGGTCCTTTGTGAATACGTATTTAGTTGGCTGACATAGTCACCGGACTGTACAGGTAATAAGGTCATCTGAATTGTTGGTAATTCTGCAGCTTGGGTATTTGAAGGACTCTCTGGCTATAAAATAAACAAAATAGGTAACTTAAAAACTTAAGTTTAATAGATAGCTTAAGATAAACAATGCACAAGATCTAACATAGCTGCAAAGTTTGTCAGCATTTCGAAATATTTTCAAGGAATCCCAAGGTTGCATTAACCGAGCCCGTTGTGGCAAAGGGGAGCTACCCCAACCCAGAATTACTCCTGTGGGTTTACAAACAAATGTAAATCCAGTTTTTCTAATATTGTACCAAAAAAAAAAAAAAAAAGGCAGCCAATGCTGCCTCCTGATTATTTTTCACATTTTTTAAACCCTGATGAAAAAAAAAAAAAGGATGGCAGCAGGATGCTGCTGCTGCCACCATTAGCAAGGACTGCAAATGCCTCTGTGCATGTACAAGAGGGGAAAGCAGGACTTTTCAGCTGTCTCATGATTAGGCAGCATTAATAATACATCAGCAAATATGCAGCAGTTGTGTTAAAGTAATGATGGAGACACAATAGAAAGCATATGGAAACAGGTAAGGAGAGATTTCAGTCTAAAGGTGCTAACAAGCATTCAGAGTCAAAAAGAAACGTAAAGAATGGCTACCAACAATACATGTGTTGGAAAATAGAGGAGCAAAATTCAAACTTAAACTAAATCAAGGAAGGACAAAGAGTATAGAATAAGCTGTACCATAAAGAATATTATGACAAAGATGCATCAGGTTAAGTTAAAGTAAGCAATTTTATGAGAGGCAACAGGCATACTGAACAATGCCCTGCAAATGTTTTCAAGACATCAAATTACTGCATAGCTGTCAAGATGAAAAAGGAACACTGTCCATTCTGGATGTACCAAGGCAGGTTAAGAAAGGCAAATACATTTCCTTACCCTCCTATAACAGCAGAGAAGGAAACATTCTCGATATTATGTACCAACACTGTAGTAGAACAGTAAGAAAACTAGTTCCGTTTAAAGTAAAGCACCGAATAAGACAGAACAACTTCAATAATCAGAAACTCTCCCATGGCTAATTTCAGAGATTAATCTTCAATTTTTACTGGAAAACAAAAAAAAAATTCTACAGTTTACTCACCCGTTTCTCAATCATTTCCCAGGTCTTTTTTGCTGCGATTGCTTTTGCTTCCTTCTTATTTTTACCAGTGCCTGTACCATATTTTTTACCATTTATCTTAACCGCAATGGTGAACCTGCAATGAAGGAAACTTTTCTAAAACATTGTAACATTTTGTCTCATATATACATAATAAGAAAGCTGAATTTGAGAATGTTATAATCTACAAAGTTAACTGTGAAAGTACTTCACAGACCTTATAGCAGCTTTCCAGTACCTGAAGGGGGCCTATAAAGATGCTGGGGAGGGACTCTTCATTAGGGAGTGTAGTGATAGGACAAGGGGTAACGGGTTCAAACTTAAACAGGGGAAGTTTAGATTGGATATAAGGAAGAAGTTCTTTATCATAAGGGTGGTGAGGCACTGGAATGGGCTGCCCAGGGAAGTTGCGAACACTCCATCCCTGCTGGTGTTCAAGGCCAAGTTGGACAGAGCCTTGGGTGGCATGGTTTAGTGGGAGGTGTCCCTGCCCATGGCAGGGAGGTTAGAACTAGATGATCTTGATGTCCTTTCCAACCCTAACTATTCTATGATTCTATGATTTAAGTATTCGTGTGTTAGCAAACCAAGCACTAGGAAAGAGCAGCACAAGGGCACTGGAAGACGTTTACAGCACTCATTGCTGTAGCCTGACACTGTAAGTTGTACTACTTGGAACAGCCCAAGTTATCCAGCATGTTCTGGATACCACCATCCCACTTCACATCATTTAGAGGTACAAGAGAGTGGATGGAGCTGTACTTGTGAATGTAGCAGAGTACACTGGAAAAAAAAGAAAAAGTGCAATAAATGGGAAAAAAACAGTAAGTTTTAAAAGTGTGTGAATTCTCTTAGTCCCATGCCATCACTTTTGAAGCATGCAGATGTAGCTGTGTAACCACAGCTGTGGCCATTACTATGATGGGGATTTTCCCGATGCAGCTCATGCAATTCAAGAAAAATTAAGATAACTAACATTTGACACCCAGATAATAATTTATTTTGGGACTATGGTCAGGTCTAAGAATAAGTCAGCACAAACAGAAACAATTATTAGCATAAGGCATGTCTACATGCAAACTAGCAGAACAAAAATAAAGAAATCACACGAGGAAACATGACACATCTTGAGTATCTATGATTCCTGGCCAGGAAAAAAATAGCAAAACACTATATCTGTGTTAAGGAAATAAAACTCATTCCGTCACCTGTAATTGTCTCTTCAAGTAAAAGCAAAGCAGCTTAAGCAAAAGACCCTTTTCTTGTAATAGATGTTCAAAAACTGACTACACATAAAACATGCTGGTACCCAATCAATTGATATAGGCCCGACTTTATAGTTAGAAACTAGCAACATAACTCACAAATAATTTCTCAGCTTTGTAAAACTAAATAAGCAAAGCATTTAAGTTGGCATAGATCATAAACTGAAACATTTGCTGCCAGCTATCCCACCTCCTGATGGGTTTCATGGATGCATAACATACCTACAGCATAGTTACTTACATTATAGATACAGGTGCATTGCTGTTGCTTTCCAAAAAAACGGAGAATCAGTTTTCTCCTCAAACTCTATCACAACACCCTCTTCACCCACCTACCACTCACTTTATGGCTCCAACCAGCTCTCCCACCACACACACACTTCCATGTTTTATGTACTTCACTTACTGCAGGAAGAGTCCTGATGGTTACTGAGGTGCATAGCGAACTTACACGGGATCATGAGATGGGCCAGTCATGCTGACATCAGCATAAACCAGGGTAAATTTCTGCTTTTGACAGTAATGGTTGATCTTCTCCATACACTCACGTTCCATTTTGACACGACCTCCAATAGGTTCTGCAAAGCAACATTCAGAAGTATGTCTGTGCCTCCTGGCATAGCAGGGAGACCACCCTTAACCCTGTGAGACCACTGCTGTGACATCAAATAGAAAACTGGTACCAGTAACATAAAAGTCACGGAAAATTAATTCCAATTTCTAATTCAAGTGATTGATCAGGAACTGGTTTTGAAGACACATTGCTTGGAAAAACTGTTTTAGAAAGCAGAGAAAAGAACGTGGAGACTTCTTAGCATATTTCTCAGCAGGAAAATGCTGAATTATTCACCAAATACTGTGAAAAAAATCCCAGTCAGTAAAGTTTCTCCAGACAGAATTAGGACCGATTCCTTCAGAGGGAGAACTAAGAGGCGTTTGAACGTACCCTTTGAAGCCGCGATGAGTGCCAGGCCCAGTGACACGCACTACAGATGAAGCCGCGCTCCCGGCGGCGGCGCAGCGCACGGGGAGGCCGCTCGAACCGCGGCGCGGGCAGCTTGTCCCTCCGGAGCGGCCGGATTCTCTTTCCCCCGATCCACTACTCCCGAGCAGCAGCAGGCGCCCCGGAGCCGGCGCGGTGCGATGCGGTGCGGCGCGGTGCGGCAGGACTGGCGGCTGGAACGCACCGCCGCGGTTTCCCTTCCCGCAGCAGCTCCCGCCCGGCTGAAACGAAACCGAAAGCTCGAGAAGCGGTCCCGGAGCCCTGGTGAGGGACGTGGGGAGGCGGGCGGGACTGCGCGGAGAGCAGGCGGCTTCTCCAAGATGTGTCACACGCTGGTAGCACCTCCCCTCCCGCGCTGCTCCCCGTCTGTTACCTCCTTCTGTTACACCCAGTACAAGGCAGCCACGGTAATAGCACATAAGGTATGTATTTTCCTGCCCGTGGCAGAGTGGTGGAACTAGATGCTCTTTAAGGTCCATTCCAACCCAAACCACTCTATGATTCTATATAGTTCAGCTATACGGACAGAGGAGAGTAGCACTGCACCCAGCTTTTTACAAATACATCCAAATATTTGTTTATTTCTTTTTTTTAAGTAGCCCTTTTCCCTCATGGACTAGATGGTCAACACTCGTATCTCTTACAGAGTGTTCAGTAGCTTCCCAAAGAAATAAGTTCCAAACCATAGATAGGGCACATAGCAGAAAGTATTTCCTTTTATACATTTTAAATTTTCAGTTCACAGAATCATCATAGTATTATAGAATGGTTTGGGTTGGAAGGGATCTTAAAAGATCATCCTGTTGCAACGCCTCTGCAAGGGGCAGGGACATCTTCCACTAGACCAGGTTGTTCCAAGCCCCATCCAAGCTGTCCTTGAACACTGCCAGAGATCGGGCAGCCACAGCTGCTCTGAGCAACTTGTTCCAACGTCTCACCACCCTCACAATAAAGAATTTTTTCCTCATATCTAATCTAAATCTCCCCCCTTCCAGTTTAAAACCATTCCCTCTTACTCTGTCACTGCACACCCTTGTAAAAAGTCCCTCTTCAGATTTCTTGAAGGCTTTGAGCAACCTGGTCTGGTGCAAGATGTCCCTGCCCATGGCAGGGGGCTTGCAACTAGATGATCTTTAAGGTACCTTCCAACCCAAACCATTCTACAATTCTACGATGATCCTAAGACTTCTTTCTTGTTAAAACACACACCTAGAGCAATTCCATAATTCTATGTATGGACTTCATTTAAAGATACCAAACACCATTCTTACATTATCATTTCTAGACTATGCGACACACCTCATGTTGTAACTTGGCTCCTACTTCCGTTTCTGATCACCATTCTTTTTCTGGCTCTGAGCTTCCATGAGGCATTTCTGGCCTCTAGTGAGCCTGCAGAAAGAACAGATAGAAACTACTGTGCATGTCAAGTGTATGATTGCACAGAGACCATGCCAAGAGACAAAGCTGCCACGAGTGGCCCTGTTTGCTAGCCATGGGTGGGGTTTATACAAATACAGCATGGCAAATGGCTGGCTGAAGTTAAACAGCCTGGTAGTAACTTCTGCAAGTATACAGGAAAGTGTATTTTATAATTCCAGGCCTACTCTGAAGTGAACATAAGTTTTCTGTGTACTGTCCGTTAATGAAGTGAAAATAAAATCATAAAAATACGTTTTAAATATAATTATAAATCACAGCTTAACCACTTAAATACCATATCTGAAAGCTCCTAGTAAACTTATGCATACATAACATAAATAAATCTTTTAAGACATTTATTTTCAAATTCTGATCTCTGACAAACTGTCAAAGAAAGCACAAAGATTACATTTATGGAAGCGTAGCTTTTCTGGAATGCACACACAGGATCCACTGCTCACTGACGGGAACGCAGGGCTGTCTGAAACAGACATCATCTTCAGTGAAGAGAGCCCTAGAAATTCAGCTATTTTCAGCCATTCTTCTGTGTAAATTCTGAAAAACAGTAATTCAGCAGAGGCACATGGAATCCACATGCCTAACACCTTTTCCAGGTCATCAAGCAGCACATTCTACTACAAGTCAGGTAGAACAGTCTTATTAAAATCCCCGTTTCCTCAACTAGAGGATTATTATCCAGGCGTTTATTCTCAGAATCCCTCCTTCTCCTTAAATACCCGCCTTCTCTAGTTCTACTTGCCACACATTAATCTCTTTGTCATGATTTTTTTGCTCTTAGATGTGACCCAACATCTTTTATCACAGAAGGAGATTGCTATCAAAGGTGCAGTTTTCAGAACTGGAAGTGGCCAGCTTTGCAAATTACATTTAATTATTAATGCTCAGTTGCCATTAGCAGTATTGAACAGAAATCAAATCAACTAAACAAAACATACTGCCAAAAGCCAATAGGAATATTACTTGAGCAATCACGCTTGCTTCACTCTGGGAAAAATGATCTGTCCCGTAGCAGCAGCTGACCCGCACACCCGTAACACTCGCTCTGCGCCGCCTTCCAGCCCGTTGTCCCGGTGAACGCCCTCGCACGGCGGCAGAAACGGGAAGAAAAGGTCAAACCCTAAACAGCCCCAAACGCCCTCCACACACCAGAGGGGCGGTCCGCGCACCGCCGGTCCCCGCACACCCGCACCTGCTCACTCCCCTCCTCCAAAAGGAGTCGCCTCCTCCTGCCCAGAGCAGCCGCCGCACGGCCGGGGACGCACACGGCACTCCGGGCCGCGGGAGCCCACCCGCTGCCCTCCTCCCGCCCCGACACACAACCCCTCCCAGCAGCGCACCGCGCTTAACGGAGCGGGACGGCCCAACCGCCGCCTCATGGGGCGAGGCCCAGCGGCAGCGTGAGAGGCGGGGCGGGGGTGGGACACGGGCGGGACGCGGTGTCCCCGCCCCACTGTGCCGCGGCGCTGGCGGCTGCGGCGGGGCTCGGGGCTCGGCCGGTGAAGCGGGGCGGCTCTCGCGGGAGGCGGCGCCGCCGCCATGGGGGTGCACGGCGTCAAAGCGGTGTTCTTCGACTTGGACAACACGCTGGTCGACACGGCGGCTGCCGGGCGGCGCGCCATTGAGGAGGTACCGCCCTTGTCCCCTTGCTGCCCGCTTGTTGCCTTCCGACGCGGAGGCGGCGGGCACCCCTGGCCCAGCGGCCGCGGTGCCGCTCATATCCCCCTCCGTCCTACCCGCGCCGCCGGCCGCAGTGCCGCCTGAGCGGAGGCCCCTCGGGGGACGCGCTGACGAGAGCCTCTTGTGTGTTGCAGGTGATCAGTGCCCTACAGTCGAAGCACCACTACGGGGAGGGGGAGGCCCGCGTCATCTGCGACAAGGTCCAGGCCAAGCTGCTGAAGGAGTGCCACGACCCCGCCAAGATGTGCATCACCGACCTGCGGATTTCGCACTGGGAGGAGGCGATCCAGGAGACCATCGGCGGGGAGGCGAACCGAAACCTGGCCGCCGAGTGCTACTTCCTGTGGAAAAGGACCCGCCTGCAGCACCTCACCCTGGCCGAGGACACGCGGGGCATGCTCACCGAGCTGCGGAAGGGCGTCCGCCTGCTGCTCTTGACGAACGGCGACAAGCAGACGCAGAGGGAGAAGATCGAAGCGTGCGCCTGTCAGCCCTACTTCGATGCCATCGTTGTGGGAGGAGAGCAGAAAGAAGAGAAACCAGCGCCATCCATATTTCATTACTGTTGCGACCTCCTAGGGGTGCAGCCTGCAGAATGTGTTATGGTTGGTGACTCTCTAGATACAGATATTCAAGGAGGCCTGAATGCTGGCTTGAAAGCAACGGTGTGGTTAAACAAAGCAATGACTGCCCCAGGAGATACCTCGCCAGTACCTCATTACATTATTTCTTCTGTCCTGGATCTTCCAGCGGTTTTACAGAAGATGGAGCACAAAGTGAATGCTAAGTTAGGAACTGACCACGTGGATGGTAGTAACGCAGCACATTGATGGTTCCAGCATACGATCAGAGACGTGCTGAGCTGTTAGGTGACTCATGCACTTTCAACAGATCTGACCCCCTAGGATTTTGAACTCATGTATGGTATGCTTTCTTAGACAGCAGATGGGTGAATAAGAGCACAGTTGTCAGTGAAAACAGAATAGAATCAAAGATTTATTTAAAAGATGCAAGTGAGGTTAACTTAAAACAATTGCCTCTGTCTAAATTACTTTGATAGACTGGCTAAAGTCTGTCTGTTTCAGACCTAAGTTGCCAGTCTCTTGTTTTTATAGTGGAAAGAAAAATTTGAATGTTTTGATCTTTCATATGCTTTACTGACTTGTAAGTTTACCAGAGGCTTCAGTTCAAACCTTGTTTGCAGTGTGCAAAAGAAGGTGAGAAAAAGGGTGTGGTATAGTCTGGTAAATCTTCCCAATTCATCTGCAGTTTATCTCAGGAACTGGAGTGAATTTTGCTGTTTCTAAAACCAGAATTTATTGACAGAATTTACATATCAGACCATTAGAAAATGCTCTCCCTTTGATCTTTTTTTCAAAGTTTTCAAGTTTTAGAATTTTCTCAGACTTTGCAGTGACTTTTCTTTTATGGAATCTGTACCTCTTGCCAAAAGTACTTAAATGTACCTTTAAAATTTGCATTTATAGAGGGGACCATTTATCAGAGAAACTTGATGGATAAGTTTTTATTTTATATTATTTTGGTGCTTATGAAGTTATGCAGTATACTTGTAATTCAGATTATGATATTTGTTGGAATGTAATTGATAAAACAGGGATATTTTCAATGGTCTTAATGTATTGTCAGACTCCTTAAAAGCTAATTTTATTGTTTTGTCTGATTTTATTAATGAATTTTGATCAGACCTTTTTGAGAAACTGTTTTTGCTCTTGCTCAGGTGTAAGACTACTCAGATTCAATTGCAGGATCAGAGCCTTTTTTTGACTGTTTTAATGACAGTGCTATACAATCCCTCCTTACTTCAGTTTCTGCATGTATTTCATGTGCTTTACTCTGGAGAAAATATGAGCTAGTTGTTTGTGAACAGCTTTCATGATTCTCTTCGAGGAAACTGGAAAATGATGGCATATGTATTACAGTATGGTGTGCAACTTTATAATGTATATGTGCTATTTCTGTTAGATGCAGAAGCTTACTCTCTAAAACACTAAGATTTCTTCTTCCCAGATTATTATCTTAATTATTTGATGTTTCTGTACTTCA